TTTTTTTTTTTTTGGTATCAATTCTTTATACAACTGACTATATTTTTATATAGTAGTTGATTAGTGAGTCATACCTGGAATAGTATAGTTTCTGTAGATTTGGTGTTGTACATAAAAAGGAGTCTATAGATAAATATATCAATTTATCAATATTTGGCAATTAAAACATGTAACGTTAAGAATATTATTGAATTTTTTTTTATATGAAAGATATATTGTGAATGTAATACATTCTTGCATAAATGTGTTATCGCCAAATGAAATTTTAACGTTACAAAAATCATAATTTTAACATTAATTAATATTATATTTTAAAAACTGGCAAGTAATCGATTTAATGCAATGAACCACAATAATCGTACTGTTCGGTAAGCTGCATATCATTGACAAATAGCTTTCTTCAATAAGCACAGTGAATGGCTCATCAACATTTTTCTTTTTTGAGGATAGGATCAATTTGACAATCGTTGTCTATTTACAATATTTGCGATAAAGACTAATTAATTTATAAACATCGTTGTTATTTATGTACAGACGTAATATAAACGCATCATACCTTATAAAATGGACATGTGTAAAATGTTGCGAATCAAACAAACAGTGAATCGGTTCGATTCGGTTTTGAAAAATACGTGGCTTGTAATTGCCAATATATTGTAACATCTATAATATAGATTGAAGCCGGCAAACAATTTTCAAACTAAATTAATTGAATTTTTACGCGCATTTTTTCTATCTAAAGAAAAACAATGAATAAAATACAAAAGAACAAAACATGCTTTGATTTCGCTCTATTCATTTTCTATATAAAACAAACACAAGAAGAAGATAAAAAAAATTCTTAATACCTAAGATTGCAAAAAAATATTTTGTAATTACAATGCATACGTATATGTATATATATTATACATATATATGTTTATATTTAAAATAAAATTGGTACAATGTATGTATATATATATCGCAAGTGACTTCTCATTGTGCGATTTTTCATGTATTGAGGTCTCTGAAACAAGGAAAAGATAGAGTCGATGCAAAGATATTAAAGTTGGCATAATATTTGTTGGCATAATATCGCAAAAAGTCATAACTTGAAAATATATCGCAACACCATAAAAAATATTATTTCTAATTCAAATATTAAAGTACAGACCAACTTTTTTATCTTTGAATAATTCACAAATATACAAAATGATAACAAAACATCATCGAAACTATCTCAGTTTTGGTAAAAGATACGCTTTTCATTTGTTCGCGATTGACGTATAAGTTACAGGTACAGAAGTAGTAGAAAAAGTGCGCGTACAATATTTCAAATAATTATACGTTCATTTTTATAAAAGCATATTAATAATTGTTTAGAATAAAGCATACTTCATCAATTTTGATGATTTTGAAATATTTTTTTAAAGTCATTATTTTGAACAACTTTTTCCTTTATATATGGACTTTTTCCTTTTTTTTATAATCGCCATTTGGTTTTAATTTTCGAATTATACAAAATATTTTTAATACTAAATATATATTTAACACTATATATTTTACAAAAGCTTAATTTATATTTAGCTTAAATTGAATTTATAATGCCTGAAAAATATTTTAATATTTTATTCATTCTATCTTAAGTGCAAATAATTTACTAAAGTAAGTCTATATTAACATTATCAACATCATTTTATTTTTTAAATCATTGGATTCCTGTACAATTTAAAATAAATAAGACATAATTTGATTGATATAAGCTTACTTATTGGGTGTGATATTAGAATGATAAAATAGAATGATACTTCTAATTGTTGACATAATGCAAATTCAATAATATTTAATTATATGTAAAATATTATTTAAATGTTTTTGTATATTTTATAATTTTTTGTAATATGTAAGTTTAATATATATTGAAATTATTTATTTATTTATTATCAAGTCTAAATGTAACCAAAATCTAATTTAAATTGTCACAAACAAAAAATGTATAATATTATAAATATTTTTATGTAAAACTTGGAAACTAATTTAATAGCAATTATAATACATATAAGAAAAAGTTATTCAAAATGAGAACCTTAATATATATTTCAACAATCCCTATTCTAAATAATTATCAACATATCATATCATCTTGGAAACACTTGGAGTAATTGTCACAAAATATTATGGAATTACCAAATAAACTTGTTCCAATTGAATTATATTAACTCTTCACAATCGAAATATTAAGTATTAAGCGAGAGGACTATGAGAACGTTACTTAATTGGTTTACCCCAAGAAAATTGTATTGGCAATGGAGGAATATCGCTACTCGTGGACGATTCATCCTCGCTACTTGTGGCAGATGTTTCTTCTGAAATCATTGCTTCACCACCTGCTTCTTGAGGCCTTTGACTTGCACCACAAT